ACAGTTTCCTTAATATAAATATAACAAAACAACAGTTCCCTTTATAAAGATAACGAAACAACAGTTGACTTATTTTAAAAGCTGCATATAGTTCTATGTTACTCTTATGTAGCCTACATTTTTGTATTCATCAAAAGTTTAAAATTCCGACTTCTTTAGTACAAGGTTACCTTTTGTTTTCATCAAAATAATTTGATTTGAACTGATTTGTAAGTCTTTAGATCGGATAACCTACAAAGTGCAAACACTTTTCCAGTAGGGTCCTTACCTCAGCAGACTCCAGAGAGAGCTATGAGATAAAAGGGAATCCAGGAACCAGTCCCTAACTCTTACTGAAAAATAAGTCCCCTTGGTTCTTTTAGATGCCCAGTGTATAGTGCGAAGATTACCTGGGTTTCATGCCAGTATACCTCTAGGTAGGTGTCTCTTAAAAATCTCACGGGTGTTACACAGGATCAAACCTCAGGAGTGACAGTCAGTGGGCTAACCAACTGAGCTATCGCACCACCTTAATAATTTATTTACCAGTTGCAAAGATATATAACTTTACACTTTAGCTGTTATGCTTGCAGAAATTTTTCTACCTGGCAAGATTGTGATGAAAATATGCAGATGCATTCTGTCAACATATTGGGGAAAGCCTACAAGAGCTACACTGTAAAAATTATGTACCAACTACGACTGGCATGTATTTAAGTATAGAAAGATATAACGAAAAATCATCAAATACTTTTTACGTCATGGGCGCAACGGGGACATTTGTTGTCACCCATCGTTACTATAAACAAATGTCCAACATGACCCACCCTGATATAATCAAACTCTCCATCCCTCATTCTTAAATGAAATCAGAAATGTATGAAACTGGACTTTTTAAGGTTAAACACTGTGCTGTTCAAAAGAAGTCAAGTAATAATAAATCATTCTATATCGTACATAATCTTGGACAGTTTGTTTGTATTATATGATACCTTTATAATTCAAGAAGGTATAAAAATGTGTCATATATATTGTTTTATATATTTATAGACTCATAAATTAACATTTATAAATCATGTCAACAACTGACCTTAAAACTTTTCAAGTTTGTTTGATTTGTGTAAGTGCCAGAAATTGTATATGATGGTCATTTAACTGATGGCGGCTACCTGGTTTGTTTGTTTGTTGGTTTGGTTTTATGGCGCACCAATGCAGCTTGTATAGGTCATATTGCGCCAAAACAGCCCACTAGGTTATTAAACTTCTTTTCAGAGTTCTGTCTCAAATCTCAGAATTTTCATTGGTCAGTGTACATTTTGTGGCCGTTTCTGACCAATCAAATACCTGAGATCTGAGTTTGAGCTTGGAGAATTTCTTTATAACCTTGGACCCAGGAAACATGATTTTGGCCAACCTTTGATGAAACAAACTGTAAAGCAACAACAGGGATCACCTGCTTAAGCTATGAGATGCAAAGACTACAGTTTAGTGAGTTATACGAACCAATGTAGTCGCCTCTTATGATCACGAAGGAATACGCAGTGGCTGAAATTCTTATGCCTCAACTACTGAAGGCAACCCCTTAGCCACAAAGGGACAGCAACCTTGAACCAGCATATATTACTGGACAAATGACCAGTACTGATCATCTGTTCTTCATAAAAGAGAAAGTAGTAATTTTTCCTGTGGATGAGGAAGAGAGGTGGCCTTAGATGGTAAAGGTGTCTGCCACTCAACCCAGAAATCATAATGTTCGAGTCTCACAGTCACCACCACGTTTCCTCGCGTAACACCAGTACTACTTAGTTAAAAAAATGCAAAATGATTCAAATATAAGCTTAACATTTTCAACAGGTTTGGGCAGTGCTTTGTGATAAACACAAACATACTTTATTGTCAATTTTTTACGCTGTTAAACTATCAAATAGAAAGTATCAAGATATCCAATTAATTCAAAAAAAAATTCTAATCAGCGTGATTTCTAATTTATAAGCTTGATCTGTTCAGTACTTTAATGCTAAAAAAACAACCCCAAAAGATTACTGAATATAAAACCAATTAAGATCAAAATTCATTTTTTTCACTTTTAAGTGTTTATAATTTTTATAATTACCCACAAGCAAACTGACATAGGAGATGGGCCGTATTTTTTTTTGCCTTCCTTCACAAATCTATCTGCTAAATACATACCTGGGGCTGATTCAGACTTGATTTATTTGAAATCTAATCATGCTGGATAAATTAAGAATACCATTAGTTAGGGATGGCTCCACAGGTCTATCAGATAATGATCAAGTTTCATTGCAAATCAATGAATTATTGTTACTTAGGGAGTCACTGACACTTTTAATAGAACACTTTTAAATCTCTGCACTAATTAAAGGTCATCACGCAGAAAAATATATTATAATTAGCCAAGAGAAGATGACAAAACCGTCAAACAAGAGCTGTCGGTTGGACAGCAACGCTCGACTATTCTTAGTGCTTGATAGTAAAAAAAATGCTTGATACAGTTACCTCCTCCTGTTTACAGGTTGGGGTCATGATGGTGAACAAGTGTGCAAAGTTTCAAAGCCATATGTCAATGGACTTTGAAAATATTTGAACTATTACAAAAACTTTAACGTAAATTCTAAGTCGAAAAAGGGGCATAATTCTGTCAAAATGCTTGATAGAGTTACCTCCTCCTGTTTACAGGTTGGAATCATGATGGTGAACAAGTGTGCAAAGTTTCAAAGCCATATGTCAATGGACTTTGAAAATATTTGAACTATTACAAAAACTTTAACGTAAATTCTAAGTCGAAAAAGGGGCATAATTCTGTCAAAATGCTTGATAGAGTTACCTCCTCCTGTCTACAGGTTGGGGTTATGATGGTGAACAAGTGTGCAAAGTTTCAAAGCCATATGTCTATGGACTTTGAAAATATTTGAACTATTACAAAAACTTTAACGTAAATTCTAAGTCGAAAAAGGGGCATAATTCAGTCAAAATGCTTGATAGAGTTACCTCCTCCTGTCTACAGGTTGGGGTCATGATGGTGAACAAGTGTGCAAAGTTTCAAAGCCATATGTCAATGGACTTTGAAAATATTTGAACTATTACAAAAACTTTAACATAAGCGCCGACGCTCGGGTGACTGCAATAGCTCTACTTATTCTTATCGAATAGTCGAGCTAAAAATGGTAAGGATTAAGTTTTTTCGTGACACAGTTTCTTTCATAGTATAGATTTACATACCTAAAATTATCAATATTATCGAGTCAGCAAGCATGCTACAGTGTTACAACTGGGTCGGCATTTTACATATCCTAATAATTAAGGGTGCAAAATTAATGTACTCAGTATATTATATACTTGTAACTGTCAAGAGATAACTGGGGTTATGCAGGCTTGAACTCACACTACCAGTATTTTTTAGGTGTTGCAGGGGTGGAGATTGATGGTGAAGAGTGACTTAAGCCATAGTGACACTGAAAAGGTCAGCATGTAGCTTACTTAAAGCTAATAGCTTCTTTTTTTATTTGGATTTTTTTATTCATTTATTTATTTATTTTTTTATGCTATCTCGCAGCCGGTACATATATCAGCATTTATATGCAGTTTCAAGTTTTAATTTTAAGGTGCTAATCTTTACTGATACATGAAACAAGATCTTATCTGTGAACAACTGGTATGCTATAATGAGAGAAAATTACTTAGTATTTTAATATTTTACATATTTCACATTCCAAAGTAGACAAAAAATAAACATATTTCAAAAATTTATAGAAATACTTAAAAGGGAATTTCAAATCATGGTTAAAATGCATGAATTTTCAAAGATGTAACACTTCGGTGAAATCATAAAATATATATGTTACGATTTACCCAGCGTAAATTAACTTTAATGAATGAAAATTTCCAACAATCTTTAAACATGATCGAATATACCAAGTTTAAACCAATTATATAACTTTTTCTACAAATAATGGGGTAGGAAATAAAATTTAGAAAAGTGTTAATTGTCAAGCATACGTATCAAGTGAATCAACAATTTTTTTTTTTTAAACGATTTCAAACCTTTATTGTAAATTAAACGTTACTGATTGTAACCTTAAACAAAACGCACACACATATTTAAATGTCATTTTAACAGAGGTGCACTGACCTACAGAACCATGAAAGATATGGGAAAACCACAATTACTCCAGTTTTGGAAGTATCTTACAGAAATATATACCGATCACATTTCCAATTTGAAGTTTTCCACTTGAACCAGTTTCTATAAAGTTACCACAATTACTGTACGATGCCTCGACCTTAGCGAACCCTTCGCGAAGTAACGAAACAAGAGATCAGTACACAGATCCTTGCAAGGAAAAGTAAAAGTACACAAGATAAAAATATACTGTATTTTGCTATCTAAGCAAAGAACATATAACATGCAACGATCTACCTTGTATGACAGGTGTTCAGTATATCATATACCGTCATCGAGCCACTCATGACACGATAAATCAGAAAGTGTAAGCTTATTCCGAGTGAAAAATGTTTACTAATACCTAGTTTAGTAACTGTATGATGCATTTAATACAGGAAGGTTTAAAATAAATCAGAACGTCAAAAATATTAAAGGGATCATAATCTTGGCAAGCTATAATGGGAATGACAGCCAAATCCCCTTCTGCAGCGGACATGATGTGTACTTCTTGACCTTTAATAAACCATGACCTTGATGTTGTACTATGCATATCATAAGCACATTTGCTCATCAAAAGTCAAGTTTCAATAGTTTAAAAAGAACGGACAGGAAAATGTGGACTTTAATACTTGACCTTTAAGTGTGATCTTAACAGTTGACAGACGGAGGCCATTTCTATAATCCCCTCCCCGCTTGACGGAAGGGGATTAATAAATATACTGTTTACAACTAAAATATGGATGTTTTCATTGATACATCAAGGGCCTCTGTTCACATTGGGACAGAGGGACAAATCTATATGCTCCCCCATCCTCTTAAAGTAAAATTTCAAGCTTACCTCTCAATTAAGATAAATCCTTCTATTACGAAATATGTCACTTTGCAGGAATCATCACATTATTCTGTTACTGGTACCTGAAAAAACAGGACACACATATTTTATAATATTTCACTAAAATGCTGTTGTGTCTACAAATAGGACAGCAATCATGATAAAATTTATAGACCATATATTCTCAAATATACATTTTTTCTTAATAATCGCACTCCCTACTCCCAATATGGACTAAAATGAAAAAGAAAACTGACGATATTCTTTTCTTTTTTTTCTTTTTTTAAATTGTATAAAAATGTAAAGCCAAAGCCCACCCTACCCCCACCTCTGTATCCCAAGGTCATTTTGTTTATAAGAGCACATAGTTAAGTCTGTAACACTATTATTCAGCTATACATGCAAGCTTTATTCATGTATTTGCTATTATTCTTTCTATCCCATGCCACTAACATTCTGTAAGAGGAATTTCCACACATTACTTGCAAACATTATATACACTCTCAATAATCTTTCCACACTTGCAATTCCACAAAATAATCTTTACATTACCTTAAATGTCTAAAATGTAACCATTTCAGTTGCTTGTAAGTTGTAATACATAGTAATAATAATTCCCTGATGACAGACACAGATACTGATAATTTTCAACAAATCAAATTAAATAAATATTTAAGTTACATCAACCTTATACAGAGCACTATATATCCATGTTAAAAATCCATGAACGTAAGTTTTCTTTCACAATATTTTTTTTCATTCATCGAGCATAAACATAATTCATATTTGCATTATAACATCTCCGTAAACAATTATACACATGTACATATACCCCCGTACATATATATCATACTTTCTATCACCCAGGTATGTTATCTCCGCAACGATCTAGATTTTATTTCTTTAACCATTATGTAAATAAATATACACACATATATATAAATATATCTGCAATACCTATATAAATGTATATATTATATCAAACATATCTTTTCGCACACAAAGTGTCCGACCAAAGACCGTGTCCGTGAATAATATTATTTTATAATGTACGTAAATCGTCGACATTCCTTCATGTATTATGACAAATGATCATAATGTACTTATTTAACAATATATACAATAGCATGGATCACAGGTAGATTTATCCACAAACAGTCAATAAATCATTTCTACAGATGTCAGCTAATTCATCATAATGCCGAATATAATTACTGATTTGAATGTTACAGAGCATAAATACTGACTAAATTATCTCCCCTTAATCACAGCAGTTTTCACTCCAGGTTGTCATAATCACTTTTTTGCCCAATCATGATGATTTAGAAAATTATAAGAGACAAAATGAAGTCAACTAAGTAAGTTTACAGACTCTGCATACTTATTTAATAATATTGTTACATTTTTTCTTTTTTTATTAAGGGGATGTGAAGCGATTGGGGGTATGGGGTGGATGGTGTGGATGGTGTGGATTTTAGATTTTTCCAGAACAAAGTCAATACAATTAAAAAAGTTCATCATAAAAACTGCAATAAATCAAAATATTAAAATACTTTTAACCAGTAATATTAGCATTATTTCATGTATAAATTTTTTCTTTCAGTTGTAACCTTGGTATTTTTAAAATGCTTTTTTCCCCCTGCACTACAAAAGAATCTGACATTTTCATTCACAGAGTCTGAATGAATAAATGCTATAATTTGTATTCATTGAATAATTCTCTGCAAAAAACATATTCGTTTAATATAATAATTCTATAATGAATCATACACATCACGGAAACACTGGCACTTCCCTTATTCTAGTAGTATTAAAAATATATTAAAAGGTGGGCAGTGATGGTGTTGGTAGTTTTCACTCCAGATCACGACAGTAAGTCACATTGAATTTACCAGAGCACAGTTCAACCACCGCATCGTTCCTGGGCAGGCTGTCAAGCAGTCTACCAGTACTTAAGTTGCCTTCACTTTTGCAAGGAACTGAAACTGAGCAGAGATACAGTGCGAATGACCGTAGAAAGGATTTCATGATCAATCACAACGAAAGTGTCCTCCACCCTCCAGAAATCAAACCCGGGTTGCCCGATTCACAATCCAACGTTCTACCTATTGAGCTAACCAGACGGCTTAGGTGGGCAGTGATTACAGATTAATCAGTTTTATAGTGTTAAACTCTTATTATATATTTCTTCGTATAAAACTTTGTTTTCCCATAAATATGGAGGTGTGCACTTTTAATAAACACTAAGGTCACATTACTGTTATATTGTAATGTGTACATGTTTAACTTTGTATGTCTACAACTTACACAGTGACCTCCACTAAAATATGAAGCATTCCCAGGGGTCAAGATTGTCTGTTTCTTTTCAAATTGTGAATTGGAAGGTCTCAATAATAATGTTGCCTTAAATAATTGATATTGCTGTCTCGTGCATTTTTTTTAAAAGAAATGTCTTCTTTTTTTCCTATTCATTATTTGATATTTCTGTCTTGTGGATTAAACTTTTCATAAATACAAATTTTTTACATCCCTTAAGATAAAGATGAATATGCATGGAAAATAACAACAAATTTTCATTTACAATGTATGTATATTACATTCAAAAACAGTAAGCCCAAGCTCAATGCTATGCAAGAAATCTTGAATGTTAACATCAATTCACTCCATAATCAAAACACACAGCGCCTTCAACTCACTTTCTTTAAATAAGTTTTAACATTCAACCATCCTGAAATTACTAAAAACAGGGTGTTGCCAAAGTGCAACTTAAACACTTGATCTTTTAAATATATAAAACTTTCATTCAAGGAAAAGATTTCCTGCCTTAAAATAGGTCAGCATTTGACACAAAAGCCAGTAACCCTTGCATGAGACTGCCAATGGGTACATTACAGAAATATATGGAACATTAATTTACAGAAATGTCAATATGGCACCAAAACAAACAAACAAACAAATCCAACTAAATAATCAAACAAAATCTCAAATAATGGTAACACCTATATATTACAGGTAATGAATAAGAAAATTCTGTAAAGTTTGAGGAGGCTCTGCAACTAATGATATAAATCATAAAACTCACCATATGTTATCCCCATTAAACCCTGCCCTGGGACCAGACCTATAGACTAGTTCTACATACTGAAGCAATAAATAGCCACAGGTGGTCACAGGTTAATGAGGGAACTAACACTAAATAGTCCCCATGACTCAGCAAAAAATCTCTTCTCAATCAATAGGAGCTTGCAGATCAACAATCTTCTAATGAGGCAGAACATTTTAACAGGAAGTTGTGCCTTTGGATATTTTGACTGGCATCATTTGTGTTGTCTTGTGAATTATGATACCTGAAGAATGTGGCCAGTGGCATAATGCATTCAAAGGCTTCAAAGCGGGCTCTTACTGAACATCTAGGTCAAAATGGCTACATACAGTACATGATCACATTCTCCTGATTCCTTATTTTGGCTGCAAAGGTAAATTTATGACTTTTTTATGTCCCAAAAATAGCAATTAATGCTAACTGCACATTTGCACAACACAAAGAATCCTTATCAAGACAAACAAAATTTGAAACAGAAACTATTGTATTTAAATCAAAAACAAATAAACATCTGATTGGCTGTCATCCAGAATTAACATTTACCTCAACCAATGAAATTGTATTTTGTATAGTTTTATTTTTCAAAATTACTCAATGACAAAGCTGCTTCTAGTTATGCCTTGTAAGAATGTATCCAAAAATAAAACTTCATGAGCTAAAAACTTGATGTGTAAGAACACTCAGTAAACATGAATCTAGAATGTCTTGAAGGATCAACTAATTATTTTCTAGAAGAAAATACATTAGATCTTGTGTAAACAAATATACATGCCACAACTAAGATATGGTAATAACATCTGCTGGTAGAAAACCTGGGGATATAGAATCTCCCTGATCAAACATAAACAAATTTATATATAATCCAAACATGTATAACTACATTAATAAACAGTTGCCTCATGAAAAAGCTGCACTGTTTGGAATTGATTAGTCCCTGAGACCATGGGATACTTTACCATAAATCACATTCAGTTTGTACAAACTGGGAATTAATGTATTAACCAGCATGAGTTATAGAGTATTTGGAAGGGAAGAAGTTTCAAAGTAAATGAGCCTCTACTTTCAAATGAAAGCTATGACCTAGTGGTGACCTTGACCTTTGACCCAATGACCTCTATGCTCAGTAGACCTCATCAGGTGCATGTGACGATTGTGAGCTTTGGAGACTGTAGGTATAAGAACTTCTGTGTTATGGTCAAGGCAAAAGTTTTTGGACCAAAGACAGCCAGAAAAAGTTATCTATCCATCAGGGGGCTGGAAGAATGGCAGTGTGACAACAAACTTAGCATTTAAATGCTATTTGCATGTATAGGAAGAAGAAAAACTTATATATCCTAGGAATGCACTTTCAATATCAACTTGCCCTGCTTTGAGTTTAAATTGTCATTTAAAAGGGTTTTAATAGTTCAGCTGAGTTTACAATCGAGTCAAATCAGGTAATACTAGGAAGGTTTCAGACCACATTTTCATAAATTACTGGATGCATAGGATGTAGCATAATCAATTATTAACATATAATCAGCAATTATCCAGGGGTTACTTGAGCATGCTAATAATCTGATGGTCACTTTCAGTATGCTTATCATCTCAAGATCACTTTAGCATGCCTATTATTACATAGGGGTCACTCCAGAATGCTATATATCTAAAAGGTCACTTTGGCATGTCTATAATTACAAAGGGAACATTCTAGTATGCTTAGTATCTCATTGTCACTTATCTATTTATCTAAAGGTCACCTTACAATGTTTCTTATTGCACATGCAGCCATCAGATCCCCCTCATCATGTCATGGAATGTGTTTTTACATGTTACAGACCAAATGCTTTTCATCACAGGATGTTGCTTTACCAGTTACAAGAATGTTTGTACAATAATGAGATGAGAGAAAATTTCTACCATGCAACACATCTATCAATAGTATCATGATGTTTGAACAGTGTAGACATGTAAAGATATTGAGGGCTGGTCAGAAATTGCATACACAGGTTGATCAGGAAACAGTCAAGCAGTCAAGGGTTGATCAAAAAGCAGTCAAGGGTTCATCAGAAAGAAGTTGAGGGTTGATCAGAAAACAGTCGAGGGTTGATCAGGAAACAGTCAACCAGTCGAGGGTTGATCAAAAAGCAGTTGAGGGTTGGTCAAGAAACAGCTAAGGGTTGTTCAGAAGACAGTCGAGGTTGATCAGAAAACAGTTATGGATTGATAAAAAAAAAAAACAGTTGAGGGTTGATAAGATAACAGTCGAGGGCTGATTAAAAAATAGTCGAGGGCTGATAGAAACACTCCTGGATTGTTCGGGCTAACAAGAAAACAGACGAGAGCTGATCAGAAACATTCTAGTGTTATTCAGAAAACAGCCGACAGTTGGTCAGAAACATTCCAGGGTTGTTCAGAAAACATTCAAGGATTGATCAGGGTACAGTCTAGGATTAATAAGAAAACAAATAAGGGTTGATCAGAAAACAGTCAAGAGCTGATCAGAAAACAGTTGAGGATTGATCAGAAAACACTTACAAAGAAATTTTCGAAGCTAAAACTCAGATCTCCGGTATTGATTGGTCAAAAACCGACACAGAATGTACACTGACCAATAATAATCCTGAGATTTGATTAAGTACAGGAAAAATATTGATAAACTCAAGGTCAGTTGTTACTCTTTTAAATCTGTTATTGTCAAACAGCTTATATACATATGATAATTTACAGCATTTTTTTTCTTTGCCTATAATTACAGATTTTCCTGGCAACAGCTAAAATAATAAACATCAATCCACGCTTAATCCAGGTGTTATGTTAATTTTACAGTTTTGCAACTGGAGAAAAAATATCCCAGTTGAGAAATTTCTTCAACTGATGTCTATAAAAAATACAAACACACACACATTTCTTGTGTTCCTTATGTTTTGCCATGTCTATGGTAACATTGTTATGTTACTGGAGCATACAGTAATCATAGGTGACATAAGAAATACTCAAGGATATTAACATGTTTTAGCTCCTCCCTCTGACTTGGCGTATTTAATGAACATGTCATATTTTTAATCAAAATTGTATACAATGTTCAGCTTTTTTATGTTTGATTAAGTTCTTAGGCTACACAAATCTTTTAAAGGGTTATAAATGGTTGTTCAAGCTTTACTGGTGGAGGAAACACTCCAAAAATATTGCTTTCAGAATTATACCTCTTGTCTTGTCATGATAGGCAAGTTTTCTAAGTTTCATGTTGATCATACCTTTTTTAATTTTTTGAGTCATGATCTTTATTAAAGTGTTTGCCAAAAACGATGACAACTCAGCAACAGAAGAGCTAAAAAAGGAAATATACCAATTTTGCAGCAATACCAGTATCAGAATAACAAATCCTAAGTTTCAGACCTCTAAACAACATGAAAAACATAAATAAACAACAGAAACTCTTGTTTTTTCTAGACAACACATTTCCCTTGAGAATGTCTCCGGCTTTATTTAACTTAACAACCCACATGTTTGATACATCATAGCCAGGCAACTGTTTGACAATCCCTGCTTAGGACAAGAATTCCGATATCAACCATGCTGTCATAATGATCCACTGTACTCACAGGATCATTTCCCAGCTTTTAATCAAGTGGAGATATAAATCCAAAAACAAATAACAGTCAAGGTGCTCCAATAATTCAAACAAAAATATAGTTTAGTAACAATGGAATTCTTTGTTACTGTAGCTAAAGCCGATATGATCATTTTGATTTAAAGTGTACAGCTAATGTCTTGCATGATTTTTATACCAGAAAGTGCTATATTAGTATCCAATTAACTATAATCACATGCTACTTGAACTCTAGAGTGGGGGATAGAGGGTTACAGGTTCGAGTTACTTTGACCCGAAAAAAGGTCAGAATTGCACCTTTAACCATCAGACAAAGTTCCTTGATGACCCCTTTTCCCTTTACCTCAGAACTTTATCCCAGAAAATGGCAGCCCCTTTATAATTACAGACCTTCTGCAAACCTAGCTGGACAGCTTCCTCACAGAAAGAATATGTCTAGTGAAAGATTCAAACCCACAGCAGTGTGCTGTAAATGATTTGAAGCCACCAATCTTACCCCAAATTAGTCCTAAACATCCCTACAAAGTGTTGACATAATGTACCAACTGGCTTCACATTGAGCACTTTGGAACACTTTTTTATTGCAGCACACAAGGAATTCTAATCATGTTCCATCTCCAGGAAACAACTCAATGACTTCACCTTAACATAAAACACACACATGCACACACAAACCTGTGGGGTTTCTTTACTTCCTAGCTTCTTTAAACACACTAAAACATCCACCTTGAGGTACTTATCAGTATTTATCATAACACTTCAGATGTTAAAGAATCCATGTTGATACAACATCAAATTCAATCTTCAGCTATCATACCAAACCAAGAAGTGGCCCTCTAGAGTTTAATTCCTCAAATTAACACCATATCATCACTTAATCAAATTCACACTAAAGTATTGGCCTATCAATTGTAACACTAAGGAGATAATTTAATTAAAATGATAACAGCCTAGAGGCATCAGGGTCAAGTGGTCAGTAGATTATATTTAACTTCTATCTATCTCCCATAGGCTAAGTTCAATACTCTCTGGACAATGAATACAGATACTCACGTAAAATCTGATCCTCTAATATCAAACCTGAAAAAGTAATTTCTTAACTCTTTTGGCCAATTGATACTTTCTAATATAAATTTGAAATTAAAACGAAAACAAAACTTTCAAAACTACTTATTTGATAAATCAATATAAAGCAAGCATCTGTCACATATGTCCCCTGCAGAAAAATTCTGTAGCTAATAATCTGCTATACAAATAGAAGAGATGTTTTATACTCAAATTTAGGAATTTTTAAAGATCCTGTATGTTTTGTGACTGATATTGTTAGTGTTCGTATACCACACCTGCAAAACATTATATATACATGTATATAATTATGCAAATAAAACAATTTTCAAACACCTAAGAATATGTAAAATGTGTACTGCAAATATTTATGCACATTATATTTAATCAATAAATTATATGCATTCATTTCTTAATGGAAACTTTGGCTAAGAATTTATAGAAAATAAATTTCTAATTACCTCCCTTTATTTACATGAAATTTTAAATTCGGTAATATCTTTATAAATAATGCTTATTGGAACTTAAAATATGAACAAATCTTAATTTGAGCATCATATCTTTGAAATAAAACCATGAAAAAAATGTGTTACAGGATCTTTAACCACAGTGAGCTATAAACACAATTTAATCTGAGCTCTTGTCACCTCTTTACCTTAGCTACTCTCACCTTATAACTAGAGCTTTTGTCATTAACCTGAGCTCTTGTTAACTCTAATCACTGAGTCCTATCATCTCTTTACCTTAGCTCTCTCACCTTTAAAATAGAGCTCTTGTCTTTAACCCGAGTTCTTGTCAACTCTATCCATTGAGTTCTGTTATTACTTTACCCGAGCTCTTGAGCTCCTGTCACCTCATAACTAGAGCTCTTATCACCTCTTTTTCTGAGCTCTTAGCAATCTATAAACCTTGATTCTTGTTACCTCTTTTTTCCGAGCTTTGTCAACTTTTGAACCGAGCTCTTAATAGAGCTTGTCACTTCTTCATGAATTATGGGCTCTGTCTCAACTTATCTGTGTCGGGGAATCGATTCATTGCTCATTAGTAAAGGACATTGTTACTTTCGCTTGCAAGCTGCACACAAAGCCAAATTCTGCTAATGTGTTTGCATCTTTTCAGTTACAAATCTAAAATATTCTCTAAAACAGGTCTTCCTGCACTTTTACTAAGCAATGTTACCTCATAACTTAAACTATTTTGACTCTGGAGTCGTTAAGACTTTCAACACATTAATTTCTGCCAACAAAGTATTGAAAGAACATAGTACAATGGAAGATTTTACATACCTATTTCCTATGTAACATCCCTCTGACTTGTCAAAATTTAATCCAAATATTATGCACACCGAACTTTTATCAACACTTGGTCACAACTTCTCCACAAGTGAACTCACATAATCCACTAATAATGCTTGAATACCAGCAGCCTGCTCGAAAGAACAAAAACAAAATATCACTGTTACAGCTAAAACGTGACTATCAAACCCAAAACATCCTATGTTTTTCACATTAATTATAGAAAAAAATAAGCAGAACATACAAACAAATCCAGAATTGTTTTCTCAAAATTTGCAATTTAACCTGGTGTACTGCACAACTTACAACATTAAATCTTGATGTTTTGCAAAAGGAAACAACAATTGTTAACACAAAGAACTAGGGGTCCATCTGTTAGGATAGTGTTTCACATATCCTGACAGGGTTAATTAATCAGCCTCCACAAGTGGGTTACATAACTTTTCCGAATATTTCTAATTATTTCTGGTCTGTTATCTAGCGACAGCTGCAGGCAGTAATATATTCCCTCTCATTCTCCCTACAGCAACTTGTGCAGTATTTCACTGTACATGTGTCTATTGTTTCTGAATTTCTTTCATTTTCAACATGGTAGCAACACTAATCAAAGCACTGAAAGCACTGGAGGGTCAATTGTGTTGACATTATAATTAAAAACACTTAAAAGTTGACATGTGGGTTTTGGACTGATTTTTTTCCTCTAGATTGAAGTAAAGTACATAATTGTGTATCTTGTCTCCTTTGTTCAATTTTACATACATGTGTTTGTATTACAAGACTACTACTATACCCTATCATACAAAAGTTGTAATTTCATATCGTAACCTTAGTGCAGTAACGGGTTAAGTCCTTCTAAACTTAATATGAGTTAATCATTTATTGCACTAAAGTGATGATATATAGACTAAATGTATTACAGGCGTCAGAGATTTCAAGTGTTATAAAGTGAGCCCACCTTTTACCTGAATTTCTTAAATGGACTTGTCCTGGTTCCATTTCTGACACTGTCTATTAACAGTTTTGGGGATATCAAGATGAAAATAATATGAAGCCTGGTCATGCAGACTGCAAGGATATGCTAGAGCTTGGTCACACTACAAAGAAGTACAGGCTGGCTAATGGCTCTATACTGATGACAAAGACATTGGCTCCAGCAGAATAAATGATTATTTATATCTTAAATCATGAAATGATAATAAATGTACAGTATTCTTTTCATCACATACCGATTACCCCCATATGGTTCAAAGAAGTATACCCCTAGGCCTTATTATGTCTTTGGTACCCAAGGTTCATACATAATATCTTTCTTAGAGATTCAGATCTATAATTTTGCACTTACAAATCTCAGCAACAAGGAAACCATCACCTTGTTAAATCAAAGAAAGAGATATAAAAAACCTTCAATGTGAAGATTTTAACAGCTGCCCTGAAACATAAAGACATGGCGCATGGGGGTATTACCTTAGTTTTATTTTTTTTGCATTATAACCAACTATAACATGTGCTTATATCATATGTTATAACAGCTGTCAACCACCAATCAGATAACAGTCACATATATCTTATCAACAATCTACTGTACATGTATTGCTACTCTATGGTTATCTTTCTGAAAAATTCCATAAACCCTTACTGATCCATGAAAAACATTTTTTTTTGGGAGAATTTTCAGAAATTTTTTATTTCTTATAATAAATGCTGCAAATTTTAGAGTCTACTATCTTAGAACTTTTCTTCAGCCTCAACAAGTCAGATATAGTGTCAGCATTAGGTAATAAGTTCAAACCTCTGACTGTGCCGTCAGTTCTCGATACCAATTTCATGGATGACTTTAACCCTTTGTTTGCTAGCTTCAACAGGTTCTTTCTATGCCACCAGTGCAGACCAAGATCTGCCGGCAGTGCCAAATCAACTTTTCCTTTTGGCCTTACTGAAAAACTGACAGGTCCATATGAGATATTTAGAGTGGTATTGGTTATAAGCTATAAGGGCCTCTTCCAAAATCCACTAAAATGTCCCCTTGCTTACCTGTATCAAAGCATTGCAAATTCCAGACTACTTTTATTTCACTATAGATCTGTTTATGTGCATATTCTCAATGGAAAATTTGAATCTCTTTTTTTTTCAAGCTATAAACTTGAAGGTGTCAAAAAAATTACCAAACAATGACTGTAAAACACTAAAACTCCATAAATTTGCTGTGAACCATTCTTTTTTACCCACACCACTAAAGAAATTCCAAAAGAGTAAACCATAACCTATTTCCAAAAAGGTCACAAGACAGAAAAAAGTCCTTATAAAACCACAGAAAAATCCTCAAAATTGTTTACATTGCAGTAACATGAACATGGTCAAGTCCATTTTCCATCTTATTTTCCAGGCAGGTGAATTATACACAGGTGAAAGATTTAACTTAACTTTAAAATCAAGATCAACAATTTCCAAATTTAATTCATTATACCAATTCCCATCTTTATTCTTTTTTTATTACATTTTGTATTTCTATATATGCAACAATTAATATGCAACAGAAATATGGATTGATACACTTGAAGCATGAAATCTGTGCAATATAATGCATAAAAGCTTCAAATTGACTCAGCCGGAATTCTTCAAATTAAGTATGCATATCCTGTCAATTCAATTTCAATAGAGCAGAAAACATTATTACTCATAGTAAATGAAAAGTGTCTTTAATCAAGTGATACTATGAGCAATTGATGTTAAACTGAAGTCACTTTTTTGGTTTTATATTTATTACTGTCGTTATCACCATTATCATCATTATTATCTAAGGGTGTAACGGTTTACCGGTATACCGATATATTGCAATATGAAAAAATAAATTTCGTACCGCGGTACGATTTTTGGAAAACCGGTATTTTATAAAAATCATAATTTTCAATTAATTGCCTTCTAATTTTGTACAAATTTCACATAAAATCTTTAATTGGCGAATTTTGTTGGCGCCAACGTAAGATAAAAGTATCCGACAACTAGTACACTTAAAAGTCAATAAGCGGCCGCATAATTTACATAAGCGGCCCAGATGTGAAAGGTCACACGCGACTAGTTTTGTTTATCAAATTGTGTGACACTTTACTTTCTATTTATTCCTTACATTTTTATTAAGTTTCTACTAAAAATATATACATATAATAATAATATATAAATGTTACTCCATCTTTACATCAAAACATATACACGACAATACGTATTGCAATATATTGCAATACGCTTCAGCAAAATGGCAATATATTGCAATACGGTTTTTGCTGTATTGTTACACCCCTATTATTATCATCATCATTTATCATCTTCATCTCACCATTATCATCATCTCCCCTTATATCATCAACAGCATCATTATTACATTAATTTCATTATTATTTATATAATTATTATTCTCATTATTTTAATCATCATCATTTTTAATATTTACATTTTTGTATCATTATCATTAGTTATAATCATTTTTTATCATTTCCTCAAAGGTACCAATTTACCAATTCAATGTACATGTATATAAAATTAATTAAAGAAATGTGTTAAAGTAAAAATTTTACATTTTCTTCAATCGGAGCAAAATAAAAATTATTACTTTTACATGCAAATCTTCTTAATTTATTTACAACCTCTCTTCCAAATGGCATGTTTTGCTTCCCTTTCTTACTGGAAAAAAAAAATCTGCAAATAAAATTACCTTCAATTCATAAATGTTTCTGTTTACTTGATTTACAGAATATCCAGATGTATTTCCTACCCTTAAAATTAAATCCACACAAGACACTTCCTCAACCTACCACTACAAAAATTCCACAGTATTTAATAATTTCACAAGTACACACACTCACAATTTTTTTTGGAAAGGAGAAAAAACCTGCCAAAGGTAAAGCTTCTGCCAAACTGATCAAGTACACAAAGATGCTTGATGGATAGAAGCTAATGGCAGCTTGGAGCTATAAATAGATTCATTAAGTGTTCAGATGGAGAGATAAAATTTCGGATTATTTTTCCTACTGTTTTATTAGACCTGCTTCCCGGATGATAAAGTTAGATATTTGTTTTTATGTTTTTGATGTGCCAATTGCATTCTAGAGAATGATGCTGCTCTACTTCTGAAGCTGTTCTAATATGTTTGCACCCTATTTTTATGTTCCTACCTCAATAAAAGCATCAACAAGTGGGCACAACATGACTTTACATTTGACCAATGTCTGGAAGTGGAAGGAATATTTCCAGATAAGCACACATTACTTGCCATGAATTCCGAAGGAGAACTGTAACTTATTGATAGTACAAAATTTCTAAGGAAAGAAAATTAATGATTATTCTTAATTTTAAACAGATATAATTATTCGAAGATCTCAGGATGATCAACTTGTTCTAACATAAATGACTGTTCTAAATTCGACCCTGTCTTAGAGTCAACACCACATCTGTTTTTACATCCCAACCAAGTTCCCTTTAGGTGTCTGTAAGATTTTGCTCCTGTAAATTTCAATTTAATTTAACATGCTACATGTATAAAGCAATTCATAATATCAGGCTTTAGATACTTTCTACACTATCTGAAGACAGAGAGACTTGGGGGGAAAAAACAACACAATTTATATATTAAAGCCCAGTCTTTAGAAGATTAAAACTTTATCCTACATGTGGAATTTATTAGCATCATCAGGAAACTTGAAGATTTGAAGATGGTAGGGGGGGGGGGGGAAGCTTGCTTTATTACAAAACTCTTTTTTAATATCATAGATCAAGTCTTATCATTGGAAAATATCAATGTTGCCAGTATCCTGCTAGCAATATGATAAACCACAAATTCTAGAACTTTTTTGAAGTTTTAATGGAAAAGATGTGATACTCATCAGCAAAAACAGAGAACATTATTGTGTTCTCTCCAAAAAACTAAATTTGTCAGATGTTTTCAACACAGATTCATCTGAACATTTATTTAGATTCAAGTTTTAAGTGATTACATTTTATTTTTAGACTTCTGGTTCGAATAACTTCTTTTGTGTTATATTATTGCGTAAGAACATTTTCATACCTTGAAAACAATTGTTCTTTCTGTCTTTTGTTCATGAAAAAGCAGCATTCATGAAATGAATATTATTTCTCTATAAATAAATAAACAGAAGTTACCAAACAAACCGTTCTTAGAACATTTAGAATTTTTTATTCTTTTTTTGGTTCAATGGGTTTAACGTGGCACCAACATATGACGACTCTCCAGCTTTACTGGAGGAAGAAGACCAAAGGTGCCCTTCCATACATTTTTTCAGGCATGAACGTGCTACTGTGTAGAACCACTGACGTTCCATAAGCTAGCTTGATTAGCTTCCGCACATGTTCCTCACATGTAGAGTCATAAGTCCTTGTCGGGATTAAAACCCACAACAGTGAGGAGCAAGTGGTTTGAAGTCAACAACATTAACCACTCAGCCTTAATCTGATTAAATAAACCCTTAAATGCCACTACTCTTTAGGATCTGACAGTCAACAATAGGAGGTCACCAGCCCTTCTCTTGACCTTTTAATCAGCCAATCAGCTTTCAAGTTCTAGAGACCAAATCAGTTTCTATTTTTAACCATAGAGAGACAAAAAATAAGTTTGTATTTTGGAACAAATGAGTTTGTATTTTGTTATAGAGGTAGCAAAATGTAGACAATTAAAGTTGTACTTTGACTTCCACACAAAATAATAAATCTAATCGCCAAAATGTAAAAGAAGCAAAAGGAACTCAGGCTAGATATAAGCCTATATGGTCAACCAGTATTTTTTTGGAAACTTGAACAGGTCAACAAAAATAAAATTTAAAGCTATTTAAAATAATAACATTTTAAAGCTTAATGTGCCTTTAAATGCCTGACACACCAAGCAATCACAATACAAGACTGTAATGAGGTTCAATTATAGTAAATCAATAGATTAGACAATCTCTGAATAAACACTTATTTGTCTTTGTATCTTATTGACAGAAGTAATGGAGAATCTTGAACAGACAGCAATGTCTTATTTGACTATTTAGTAATTTATGTCCTCCAACAAAATTCTAGAACATCTATCACAATGAAAATAAAGTAAATATTAGCCAATTAACATATTCACTGGCCATCTAATCATAACATTATTTGGATAACTTTTTGTTTTGTTCACACCGACACAGTATAGGTCATATCGCAACTGTCCAGCTTTACTGGTGGAGGAAGACCTCGGGTGCCCTTCTGTGCATTATTTCAGGCACAAATGGGCACCTGAGTAGAACCACTGACATTCCGTAAGCTAGCTGATAACTTCCTCACTGAAAGAACACAAACCCTAGTAGGGATTCGTAACCCATACAAGTGAGAGCAAGGGTCTTGAATCAACAACTTTAACACTCTATAGACGCAACAAATAATTTGATAAAAACGCCACTTATCATAACAATGATAAGAAGACCACTTATTGTCAGAACTAACATCTTGACAAAATAGAATGTTAAATAGATCTCCTGTTAAGTAACAAATAAGTCTAAGACAATATTATAAGCACTCAAATACATTACTTCAGACAATCATTATAAAATAGGAATAATTTCATCGAAGTTTTTACGGTCAGTTATACTACATGTGCATGTAACTCATTATAAATAAGAATCTACTTTGACAAATACCTGAATCTATATATAAAGACCTAAAACTGAATAAATTATCAATTAGTTTTTTTCTCAAAGTCCCTAATTTAGTGCCATTTTTAACATCAACATCAAAGCATTATATATCACTGACACATATATAGTAAAGTTAGGCTGATAAACACATATGGCTTTATTAATCAAGCTAGAAATTACAATACTAAAGAGAAAATTCTTGTCACTCCTTCCTTTTGTGTGTAGGATAATCCCGTAATTGATTTTTTACACTTGTCAGAGATGCTGTCCTCCCAGAAACATTTCCTGTCACTGACTCAGTCCCTAGTTTAAAGTACAGTACATATATCATCAATATCATGAAAATAAATAGATCAAAGCCTACACATATTACTCATGGTCACTTAAGTTTGTGCTTAAGAAAGAAAAGAAATAACCAAACCTCAATTTAAACGGATGACTTCTTATGTCTGAATTTTAATATAATCCAACTTCAGAGAATAAATCAGCCTTTCAGCACAGTCATCGACATATTAAAGATCCAAATTTCTCTGACACAATATTTTTATGCACCAGTTTCTTTGTGTGGCTTTTTTACTCGAGATCATTATCACAAGCGAAATTGTTAGTAACACCGGCAAATAACTCAATTATTTGGTTCCAATATTTTAGCAGCACACTGCCATCTTTCTACGTTTACATGGAGAACATACATGACTCATGTATAACGCTGGATGTTACAGACAAAATATTGGCGAGGCTTTAATATTGATCTTTCGCCACAAGTACTTTCCATGTTAAATGGGGACGCTGCTTTTTTTTGCTTTTTTTCAACGGGAGGGCTGTCTTTTGTCTAAATATTTCAGACTCAATCATTATTTGACATCGGTAAGTTAATTCAATACCTTGTTTACAGAGCACAGCGGGCTCAGTAACTTGAAATTCGAATTCCTGAATAACAAGCTCAATAAGTTTAAATTAATAGCATTTTTTTTCACAAAAGAATTTCAATAGTACCTTTATTATGATTTTCAAAGTTTGATGGTAAGATACTTCTCATTTTTCTCATTTTTTATATATATTTAATTGAATTAATGGACCCAATCGGCCAGAGTGACATTTCATCAGTAAGTGACGTTATAACATTGTTGAATTGTAAATAATTAATCGCAACATCTATTTGTGGTATCTGTCATTCAGCTTACTTATCTGGAGGGATAACCTCGTTAATGTTTGTAATAAAACAGTAATTATTTTACATTAGTTCATTAAACTTAACCATGTACATGTACTTATATAGAGGTTTTAAAGATGAATTAATTTTCAGTTAAATTTTCTTTACTCCAACCATTAACATGGTTTTATAACCTGTCTATTTGAAAGTGACTAGGTTTAAATTCTTTAATATGGAGGGTAAATATCAGTCGTCGGGTTAGCTCAAAAGGTAGAGCATTGGACTGTGAATCTGGCGACCCGGGGTTTGATTCCCATATGGCGAAGGTCACTTTCATTGAGGTTGATCATGAAATCCTTTCTATGGAAAAGTTCATATCCATATGATATACGTATAAAATAAGTACTGACTGAATAGCGAACAGTGCAGACCATGATCAGATAGCACAGATGTGCTGGAACTGCCAGCTGATCTTGGTCTGCACAGTTGGCATCATGGCCTGGGTAAGAATAAGTTGCTGCCAGAAGGGTCATGCAAGGTTTATACTGCCATGATGTTGTGGTAATAAGCCTGGATGTTGTGGTAATTTGCCTTGACATTGTGGTAATTTTCTTTTATCTACGACATCAAGCTCTTTTACAAAATAAAGAAAATAATCAAGTTTATAGGAAAATATATCAAATGTTCCATTATCTTATTATAGTTATCTATATATCTATATAATAAAACATGTTTTAAATAAATAAATATTTTATGACAATAAAATCTTACAATCACTGCAGACAGTGGTAACATGTTGGTCAATTACATTGTGGATTACCATCATCATTAACAGATGCCACAGCCTATCAGTTTCGTCATTTTCTATTTTTGTTAACATTATGTCTGCATGTAATTGTGTAAGTTACAAAATTATTGAATTTCACATTACATGCACCAAGTAGTGTGTGACAAAATCGCAATGCCAGCTCCCATCTGCTTCATTTATTTCCACAACAGCATAAAAACTGTGGCATTTAGTGGGTGTACACTTCTAACAATATGTCTAATCAATATTGATCATTATCATTATACAGCAGCAGCAGAAATAAAAAACAAAAAAAACATCAGCATTTTTATGGGTATGCACTAACATAGCATGTAGGTACTGGCAACCCTGTTGAAAAATGACCCTTTAATCTACTACTGAAAGATTTGCAGGAATCATTTTCTGGTGTTTTGTATTGAAAACATGATGATGGATGTATAATATATGTATACAGTTAGAGTTACTTTTAGTTTTAAAGCATTTCAACATTTCAAGATAAGGCATGGCATTATATAATCTGATGAAGGTGTGGGTCACTTGACTCGGCTGAAATTCTCTTTTGGCTTCAACAGGTGTGGTTACTGATTAGAAAACACAGAAAAAGCTGTCAACTGTCAAAATAAGGAATAGAAACAACAAAAACAACGAACTTAAAGCAACATGTGAGGAATAATGTCTGGAAAAAGTGTTCAATATACAATAATGATCAGTTTTGTCCTTCTAGTTCAAATGTCATAATTATTAATCAATATTACTACAGAACTGAAGGTACAAAAGTCATATTCTCACATGAGACAGCAGCAACTTTCATTTATAAATTTAATTCCTTTTGGAATAAAAATCTTAACAGTGGGGACTGGGTAGTACAACAGATGGAAAGATGTTTAATATAAGATAAAAGAGATATGATCATAATATCAGAAATATGACTGAAATTAAATACAGGCCTTTCATTCATTATGCATGTAGTTACTCCTGGAAAATTGGAGGCAAATGCCCAAAAGAGCATGCTTTTTCCAATCTAAAAGCATAAAATTCCCAATTGTCAGACTGCTTTCATGGAACATTGATTTTCTTTGAAAAAAAAACAAATTTTATTTGAAAAGCAATTCCAATGAATTTGATATGAAATTATGATAAATATGAAGGCCATCAACAGAAGCTATTCTTTCATTCATTATGGCCTTCAAAATTTTTATAAGTTACTTTAAATTTCCCAGTTTGGACTTTAAGGCACTTTTTTACCAATTCCAACAATGTTGGTATCAATCCCAGAATTTTCCCCACCTACTATCAAGGGAAGTAATTCAAAAAATATTTTTTAAAAATATATGGCTTGATTATAACTCTCTTAATTAATTCAAAAAAATACTAGTGATAAAGGGAGAAAAATTTGGAACATGTAATTAGTGTTGTCCCGATTGTCTCTGAAAATCGATAACTAATCGGATCACCCCAAAATCGGCAACAATCGATAGTCCTTTTTAACAATCGATTATTTTAATGTTCTACCACCGCTAAATTGCCTAGGGCGTAACTTTTTTACACGCGGTCAAATAGAAGTTTCCCGACCAAATCTCTTTAATTCCAGAGGATCTTATAGTCCTTTTTGTTTGCCTTATCAAAAAAGAATTACAGAAAAAACATGGCTAGTGAATAAGTGGGCAATTTGAACGACTTTGTTTCTTGAACATCAAAGCAAATTCATCCTGGCCTGTCACAAAGTAGTATTAGGTATTTGCGTTGTTTGTTTTGAATTCAAAGAGTAAATCTTACTTTAATCAAGAAGACAAGAGCTTATTTATTCTCAAAATAATATTAATATGGTCACTACTGTATAAAAAATACATACAAGGATTGGTCAAAAAATGCAAAACTCGATTATACTATCGGAAGACAATTGATTGTGGTGATCCGATTATCGATAGTGATTTTTGAGTCCGATACCCAACACTACATGTAATATAGTGGACCCTCGAAGATAACCAATACTAGCACACTTGCTTATTTGGGGATACCACACCTCCACATTTTCAAAGCTACAATAAAATTCAGAGTAACACTTAGAAACAGAATAAAGTATAACAAAAATGCGTGCACACTGGAGCTCTTTAACTAATTTATGATAGTATCCAAAATATTTTAATAGCGAAGATCATTAACTAAATGTTTTGGGGTTTTTTGTTGTTGTTTTTTTTGTTTTTGTTTTTGTTTTTTTGTTTGTTCATTAATTGAAATGCAAAAAGTAAATATGAATTTATTGAAGAAAATTTGACAAAAAATGCATACCAGTAAAATAATTAATGAAGACAACAAAAGAATTTTGGACTAAACAATGCACAATGAATAAAAGAGAGGGTAATTTTAAAAGCACCTTCTCTTTCATGTTGGGACTTAAAACTGCTAACTCAATTGCAAGATAAACATTAGTGTTTACTCAAATTTCACTAATTGCATGTTAGAAAGATTATTTAAAGTTTAAATTGCAGATATATCCAAAAACCTGACCAATCTTACACTAGGCCAACCTACACTTACCAGTAATTACATAATAATTGGGCACAAGTATGCATAATATTGACCTCAATCTGTCAGCACAATATATTTGAGAAAATGACAAATATAGAAACAGGTCATATGTGAATTTGTAACTGAATGCAGCCAGTATTTTAAACTGTTTAACAGTTAAACTTGTGGACATAAATAAATGTAAGAAAAAAATGAAATAGATTCTTCTGTTACAAATGAAGTATAAACATTAAAGCAAGATGTTTGGCAAAACAGCTGTTAAGTGGATTTATTGCATCTTATAATAAGTTACTCATTCATAGAAATTATTGTAATTTAGCATGTAAATTCGATTTCATTTGAGAAAAGAAAATGATTGACAGTTCATTTTACGTATTGCTTGTCAAGAAATAGTCGGCATAAAATATGTCAGCACAAATAGTTTTAGTTTCTAAATGAAACAATAGCTAAATGAATAGTGTAATTTGGTTCTTTTGGTCCATAATTTGGAACAGTGATTCACTCATTGACAAACTATTTACTCTGCCTGGCATTCGTTTGTGCAGCCTGCATGGTAATTTATTGCTGCTTAAGTGTAGCAACTATTTGAAAACATTTAAATACAATCTTTGCATTTACTTTCCAATGAATTCTAAGAATTGCAAATTGTGCCAAATTAAGCTTACCCCACCCACCTCTTTCACAATTGTAACAAAAATAAAAATTTAAATTATTCGCATAACCAGAATTTTTGCATTGTAACCGGCACTTTTGCTTCAACGCAGACCTACTTTTTTACAAATTGTACCAGATTATATATTAAATTCTCAACCTAATTGTAATGAACTTACAAAAACCGCAGGTACCGTGTCCGAGACCACTGCAGTATGGCGGTTTTAATACAAGGGAAGTTACTCTATTCCAAAGTATGAATAAGTCCATCTCGGAGTTACCTTTCTTAATTTGCATTGCCACGGCGTTATAATTATATATATGGTGCTAATATATCCTCACCTGAACCCCCGTTTCTTTCTTTAAAACATTGAAAATGTCTATTATTACTTTATCTGTGTCTAAAGATAACTAAATATATATGTTCGGATTTTATAAATCTCATCACATAGCCTTTCCTGTACTTCAAAGTCTGTGCATCAAATAATTAATTAATAATAATCAAACAAAACGTCAGTTGTTTTGTAAGTCCCATTATAATTCAGAAATGCTATCATTTTTATTCCTCAAAAACGTTCAAGTTATAGTTTCTTTCAAATAGCGACTTGCCATCAGGGTCTTTGTCATCTACATATAAATTTTCTTCGCTCCTTTTGCTTTTTTGCAACTTGTATAATGCTACTGTAGTGAATAAATATTTCGTATGGAATTCAAAATAACACTTAAATTTGCGCTATATTTTTGGCTGTTAAACATCTAGTAGAATATGCTCTAAATCCATTGTTTAAACATTATTAAACATTTGGTTGACATTTCTAAAGAATTTAATAAATTTTATATGGATTTCTGAGAAATAATGTGCCTTCAATTATATTCCAAAATATTGTAGGCCTACTAGGTTAGGAGGATTGCGTGGCGGTTCGATCCAAACAGTTCACAGCACGGCTAACATCACATGTGTGCCTAACCCGACGTTTGACTCACTGTCAATTAAAATCGACTGAACGTTTCTTCCTTATATTTCTTTCTATCTTAATTTTCGTTATTTCTCTTTAATTTTATATAACAATTGTATTCTCATTCTTTGTATATATTTTTGCTCAGGTACGTATATTAATATATGTACCTGTTTTGCTTTATATTATAACTAAATGTTATAAACAATTGTGACTTTAATGACTTAAAAACATATAAAATCAGAAATATTTCAAGCCACATATACTGTCATACCGTATCTTAATGCACTGTAAATCTATTAGGAGAAGGCATTTATACATATCATGTTTGTATTGTGTATTTTGTATCTGCTATTATCTGTATATATACTCTGAATTTGTTCGATATAAACTACATTGTACATTGTATGTTTAAACTAAATTAAAATCGGGATATTTTAGTTGGTAATGCCAAAGGTAAACAAATTTAAAGATGTGATGTCCTCCTACACCAGTGAAGCTTGAAAGTCGCTGGAAAATGTTCTTGACATTGTTAGTGCGACCTATCCCCCAAACGTGAAATAGTGATAAAAGTTGTTTTTTTTTTTAAATTGTCTGGACAATTGTTTTCACAACGGCCCGTGAAAAATGGACCCCTTGCTCGTAGACTCGAATCTGGAGTTTCCGGCCTTCTCTTAACTTATAGTATATTTTAATGGGGTTTAGCTCATATTCCGCTTTTTGGGGGGAGGGGGTTGTCACATTTAAGATGAACACAGGTTTTTTTTATTAATCTGGTCATATTTTTTTCTTCCAAGGTCCGATACGCGTGCCTGTGATTTAGTCAATATATAATCGACGTACATAATGATATTATTCCTTCTGCAACTAAAGCCAGTTTCTTACTTAGGCCCTCCCTATTTCTCTTACAGTTTTCTTTTACAGATGTTCGCTTGCTCACGAGGGAAAAGTTGTTGTTTTCTTCTCTCAACATTTTGTGTGAAAGAACTCATCTTTATAAACAGATACAGTAAATCAAATTCGCTTCTTACGGATTTACTGAGTCGTGTATTCAAGTGCAGAAAGTACTCAACTGGTTAAGTCAGGACATTTGTAAAAGTCTGTGGGTTTTTTTCCTTGTAGAACCATAAAAGGAAAATATTCAAGTTTTGCAGCTATTTGTGAGTTTTGTGTCATAACCATTTAGAAACTTTGAAACTTTCAAAATAAAACGTTTGGTATATAGATAGCATATACCGGTAGTATATAACAAATAAGTTCATTTAGACATTTATTAACAAATATAACATAGCACATATTACAGCAGTTTTCGTAAAAACGTAAACAAAAGTCAAAAATAACACACAACAATATATACATGAAGATGTATCAATATACATAGTCTGAAGACTGAAATGAAATGTTCCGAATGATTGCACTGCAAATTAATTTCAAAATTACCAAGGTCTCCATGGTGTTTCTTGGCCAACAGCAATTTCACTTTTATGATGAGTTGGTTGCGCATGCGCAAAAACTTCAGAGTCTGACGAGTTCTCAGAAATTCCTGAAGCACTGGAACCAGAGGAAGCGGTCATGCTGAACGGAGAATCACATCTGCTTACATATGAAATATCCATAGGTGAATGCACTCGATGACCTCTGATCTCAGCAGAAGCAATAGGGGAAAACATACTGTCCGGACAAAATGAACCGTAGGTTGGTGCTGGTGGTAGGTCTAAAGCTGGGGAATTTGTACGTCTGCGTTCAGGAATAAAACTGGTCTTTCTTGTAGCAGACGACACAATGACGTCATCTTGACCGGAAGTATCACATACGTTATGTAGATGGTTGTCAATATCTAAAAGAAGAGAATTTGGCATCATGACAGCTGAGCTTAGGTATAGGACAGTCTGTTTCCTGCATTCCCGGTACCCCGCGCGGTAAGATGTCACGTGATCAGTATTTGTGGTCTTGGGTTGTTGGTGAAGCTGCGAAAGGCGAGTGACAGCCAGTTCTAAAATCTCGGCCTTGTCCATCTTTACCACGGTTGCTGGCTGAAATATAAAAGTAATGAAATGAATTTACATTTTTATAAAAGCAAATAATCACTTTTGTATAATTTCATACTTTTTTCCCAATTTTTTTAAAGATAATGCATTCAAGCACATGTTCAGGCAACAGAACTTTATATTCCTATGTCCTATTAAGATCTCAAAGAATATTAAATAAGACACAGCTCTATAGATAATTAAAGCACAAACACTTGTTTTACTTTCTCTGTACTATCTAAATATTTGGAAGGGTAGGCCCATGTTGTAAGAACTTATCATTCCACTCTTTCGCATTATACTGGTTTGTGTGCTCGAGTAAAATTGCGAAATTGTACATTTGTATGTACACTTGTATGTACATTTATGCTAACTAAACTAAGATTAGTTTCTCATGATCTGTAATTCGTACTGCACACGAGCAATTGAGCAAATTTTATTACTGTGATTGAAACTTATGCTCGTTGGTTGGGTATAGTTTAAAAAGTACGAATTCGTATTGTTTAAATAGAAGAAATATCAATTAATAACTTACGTTGTTAGAAGATTTTGCCAACAAGGCTTTCAGGCTATCTATACTGACATTCATACGATCTCGTCGTTTCTTCTCTATCAGAGGTTTACGTAACTGAAAATTAGAGAATAGAAAAAAAATTAGATAGTATACAAATTAGAGAATACACAAATTAGAAAAAAAACATTTAAGAATAAAGAATGTTCATCTTGTTTGATTGATAAGCAGTAACCTCAGTGTGCTCGTTTTCTGCTGTGAACTGAGACGTTCTAAAAAAAAAAAAAAAAAAAAAAAAAAAAAAAAAAAACAAAAAAACAAAGTAAAGAATTTTTCCAAAAATGAAACTTAAAAAAAGATTGATAAATATTATTTGCAATTATTTTGCAATACATGGTAGAAGTAACTGTTTAAATTACCACAGTCCCACACTAATGCTATCAGAGCACGGGCTATTTCTGCATTTTTTTCAGGGTCTCTGTGAATAGGTTAGTAAGCTTGGCTATGTCACTTTATCTGTGCACTTGACAACTATTTCACAAATCAATGTTTCTTCTTTTGAAAACGACAAAAGAATACCGAATGTAAACAAAGTAATTATGCTATATCGTTAAAGAAGATAATTTCTCAATCATTGCTAACCTTGCAAAGAAATCTTAAGGATTCAAAATCACTTACCTTTCTTAGGGAAAAAGAATCCGACGATTCACGTGTACAAGATCCAACCATGGTGGGTGTATATATCAACGTGTAATAAAAAAAAATGTTAACAAATTTAAAAATCAGTTATTTCTTGAGAATGAGCGGGACTTGTCAAGCTCAAAGATTATATCAAAAGTATGAAGAAATTTGTTCATGCGTCCAGTATTATTTCGTTTTTCTCGCAGGAAGTTTTACTCAACAAAAGCACGTGTTGTATCTGATTGGTTAATATTATACGCGGGTAACGTAGTTATCCAATCAGCGCCCAGATGATAGAAAGTCGATAATTGGCACGTGTCAGAAAGCTTTGAGCGAACTCAGCCCCGAAATAAGGTGGGAAATTGAATGGATTAGCGCCTTATTGGTGGCGCACGGCTTTTTTGGCAATTAGCAATCAATTAAATTAATAGGTGACACAATTATTTTCAATTGGTAATAAAGACCTAGAATTGTGTCTGTAATTAATTTATATAGAAAAGTTTTCTGAAACTTGTCAGGATGTTAGTTCATTAGAGATTGGGTGATCAGACTTTCGTCTGCTGCGGTTTAAGCGGGTAAAAAAAGAGAAAAATAAAACATTAATACGATCATTTATTCAGCATATTACATGTTACTAATGTTTTATAGCCTATGAAATCCAAAAAAGAGTGCGAGCAAAAAAAAATCTATTCTTTGAAGTGATGAAATTGTTCCCCCGAAACGTAATTTTTGGTATAATATCATAAGGAATGTCAAAACCTAAGTTTAATATAAGAAAATATGAGATATCATAATGATGCGAAAGTCTAAGTTTCACAATACAAATAATAGAGATTCTTTATTTGATAATATAAAAGGGAATATCACTTGCCAAACATACAGAAATCTAAGTTCGGATAGATACCTTTGGAACTAAAAAGCCCAATTTTGTCCTCGGTTCTTTATATTGGAGTTAGCATCTGCTTTTAATAATAAATAAATTCTCATAAGTAGAGACGATCATTGTTATTTTGAGGTATATTTTTTTTTCGCCCCAAAATTTAGTATGGCTGTCCAAAATAATTATTAATTTCATCGTTCATTTTAATACAAGCAGAATGGCATATTATGCCTCACCAATGAATCAATTACTTCTTCTTAAGAAAGGGCATTTATCAGTATAAGATCGTCTAGACAATGCTTTGTTAGGCCACATGTGTCACAAATCACATTCGTCACAAGTTTTTATGAATTTGTGACGAATGTGATCACATTCGTCACAAATGACTTTTGTGACGAATGTGATTGACCAAAATCGGGTAAAAATGCCAATCACAAACGTCACAAGCAAAATTGAGAATTTTTAAACAGGCGAATCACAAATGTCACAAGTTTATTTTTCAATATGTGATACACGGAATATCATAAGGACAATCGTGGTTATATCAGTGCGATAGTACAAGGGCGACAATGCAATAAATCGATATTGTGATGTCGACATCACGATACCAATATCTTTTCACCACCATTGCATTATCGCCATCGTACTAACTTGTTGCAATATCGTATCGTCGGCATTGTATTGTCTTCATAGAACTGTCGCATTGTCGTAATGGTATTGCTATCAAGTCGTCTTACGTTCTCGAAACCTTCAAAAAATTTTGGTGACAATGCACGGCATAGTATCAGACTTCAACTGGAAGTGCTCTTTTACCTCTGTGAACCCTCAAATTTCTTCCCACCATACAGCGACAGTCTAAAGGAATCTCACAGACTTAATCTTAGTTTCAGTACAAATTATGACCATATTTACACCAATGAGACCATATATGATTGTTTGGGAAGTAGCTGAGACCCCCGTTGACTTTCAGGATATCTAATTAGAGATTAGGACCTTTTGACATCAATGAACCTTTTTTGGTCTGACAGACTTTTGACTTCCGCAGACTTTCAGGAATCTTGGTTCAATTAAAGAGTATGACATTTTGACATCTAGGAACCTTCTTTCCTGAGACGATTTTGCAAGTCTGTGCCAATTGCTTGCAGACGCTCTATGGAACTTTCCATATCTATTCCACTAGTAATAATAATATAGTTAATTCGTTTAAACAGATCGTGTCTTTGTGGCGGGGCCGCTTTATAGTTTCGACGCGTCTTAGCTTTTTTCGCCTTTTATGATTAGATAGTTTCAAACGACGGTGTTTAGTGAATTTTATAGAGGATATTTGTTTGTTTTGAGTGAATATGAAATATATTTCACTGAGAAGTGAGAAAAAAAATGAAATATGTATCACGAGCGCGTAGCGCGAGTGAAAATATGAACATTTTCTCACTTCGATGTGAGATATAGTTCATATTCACGAAAAGCAAACACATTTTCTTTTTATTTTATGTGCCTTTTGAAAAGTGCTTTTAGACCGTTTACTACTGAAGCGCGGAGACTACGCGCGCGTAAACAATATGACGGCAAACGTTAACGCTGCAAGCAAAATAATCCTTATTTATTTATATTTCTTTTTGCGGTCTCATTGTCAACAATCTTACAAAATTACGGACATTTGAATCGAGAAATATGTCATTTAGAATGAAATTAAACAGTTATTTTTAATGCATGTTTAGGGAATCCAGACTTATAAATACGTACGCAGAGTGGGCGTGGCTTATATCACCCAAATCTATATCACCACACTGTGACTGATATAATATGAATATATTTCATTGATAGAACAGTATTTCATTAGTTAGCATCAAATAAATATAGGATATTACATGAGTGTCTTTTCATATTGAATTTATTAAACGAGTTTGATAAAATAATAAATTGCGAGGCTCTGCCGAGCATTTTATTATTTTATTCAACGAGTTTAATAAATTCAATGTTAAAAGACACGAATGTAATATTCTTTTTATCACAGGTAAACTTTTGCCGCCGAAAAAGCGAAAACTTGTCGTTATTTTCCCTTATAAGCGCGGTAAAATTAAGCAACGTCCGCTAACGTAGATAGATATTTTATTTCCTTCAGTATACATGAAGAGCACGTCAAAACGATATTACACTAGTGTAATATGGAAAATATGTAATGGCTTTATTCCACTCCCGCGACTTCAAACGTGATAAATAATTATTTTGTAGTTAAATGCTGAAAAGTGTTGTGTAATACAGAATGTTGTTGCGCGACTGTATAGTACAGAACGTTATTAAACATATCAAGTAGGATAGCATGTAAGTTGTAATGTAATGTAATATTATCGTGTAGCAATTCAAAATATTGAAAAGGACGCATAATCAAACATTACGAATTGTGTTATATGTCCACACGGTTTCAATAAAACACTTTGTTGCTGATTTACGCCGTGTCTTTTTTGTTTCGTTTCTTCGCCGCGAAGATTAGAAAAAAACGAAAAACCGAAGACACGACAAATCCACAGTTTGTCGTATCTTCGCTTCTTTTTTTTCTATTTCTTGCAGCGAAGAAATGAAATACGTCAGAATAAATGCGACAATACAGAGATAAAATGTGCCGTGTTTCCGCCCTAAATCTGTCGTATCTTTGATGTTTCGTTGTCCTTGCCAGGCAGATCAGGAAAAGACGAAGGCACGACAAAATCACAGTTTGTCTTATCTTCGCATTTTCGTTTTTTCTAATCTTTGCAGCGAAGAAACGAACACACGATAGAATAAATGCAACAATGCGGCAGATAAAATGTGTCGTGTTTTAGCCTTTAAGCTGTCGTATATTCGGTTTTTTTTTCGCTTCTACGTATTCGATTTTACGTTTCTTTGTTGTTTTTTAATTCAGTTCTTCGTGTCCCGGTTTTACAAGCGCATACGCACATCAACTACAAAATAATGAAAAGATACTTTATATTGTGATCGCTATATATTGCATATGTAGACACTCAATTATGTTATTCTTCTAAACAAAGTTTAATGTTTTATCTCCATACTGTTTTCTAACAAATCGTGTCTATTTTCTTCACATTTTCCGTTCGCCACAAACATTTGTATTTTAAATATCTGCTCATTAAATTTCTATAAAATCATATAAAAATGTGCAGAAATTTAATCTTTATCTATCCTGTTGCGTGTTATGCTGATAAGTTAACTATAAGTTATATCTTGAGCGCTCCAACGTCAAAACTTGTTTACGTCAACCGGACGTGACGTCATGATATGGATTTTTGGCACACTAGCAAGTGTGCCGATATCTGGCACACTTGCTCAATGCATGCTTATATCGGCACTCTTTGGGCAATATCAGCACACTTCCTTAGCATTTTTGTTACTATTTATAGTAACAAATGCAATAAACTAGTATAATATCGTTTTGACGTCGACGTCATTTAACGTTAGCGGACGTCGCTTGATTTTACCGCGTTTATAAGGCAAAATAACAACAATTTTTCGGTTTATCGGCTCCAAAATTTAACCTGTGATATGAATAAAATAATAAAATGCTCGGCAGAGCCTCGCAATTTATTATTTTATCCAACTCGTTTAATAAATTCAATATGAAAAGACACTCATGTAATATCCTCTATATTGGCCTACGAGACCGCTAAAGCCCTCGGGCCAATACCTCTTCTTGGCCAATATTGCATTCAGACACACTAGACCTGTGTAATAACCTATAAATACGCAACGGCAAACACTATAAATAGAAAAAAAATGTGAATTTAAACGTATATGAGTTTTGTCCATGTAATATGACTGTGGTCAGGTGACGTGATGCGCCAAATATCGATATCGGTCCGACTTCCGGTTGGGCCGATATCGATTTCCCACTTCGGGTTGCTAAAAAAACGCGGAAAGATTGACAATTTTATAAGAAAAAATACGTTTAACTGAAATATATCTTGATAAAAAAGCAAAATTGAAGAAACACTTGAAAAACAATCTCCAAACAGTTAAATAACGCCAAAATATATTAAAAACAAATGTTTGTGAGGAAATGACGTCAACGTCATTAGACGACGTCAAAAGTCCCTCGCTTTTTAAAATAAATTATACATTGTCGCTGAACAATGTTTTCAAACGATTTTTTTAATTCTATAATGAAAACCAAAACATAAATGAGCACATGCAATAAAAAGGTTATAGAACAGGTCTGGTGTGCCTTAATGCGATATGGGTCTACAAGATCGGTATTAGCCCTCGGGCTCTTTTAGTGGGCCAAAATCGAATAAAG